AACTTTTCTGAAAATACTGCCATTTAATATGCAAAGAAAATAAAGGTTCTGAAAGCAAAGAAAAGAAGAGAATGGTTTTTAGATAAACAACCAATAGCACCTGACCCCAAAACGAACAAGCTTGAATCTAATAAAGAACCTTGCATCAAATAAGAAATACACATTCTTTTCAAGCACTCGAAGAACATTTGCAAAACTTTGCTATGTCCTAAGTTTTAAAGGAAGTCTCAACACATTTGAGAGGACTTCTATCATGCGCACTGTGTGGCCTGACCAAAAGGTAATAAAAAGTAGCCTATATATTTAGTAAATAATAACTTCTTAAATAACTAATTAAAGCAAAAGTTGTATAACATTTAAACCTAAAGACAATTTCAATACTATATATCGAAACTAAAAGCATAGTTTTAGGATATAGAAAGTTACAAAGAACCTCACTCCCACCCGGGCAGTAAAGAAGTTAGATAACACACAAAACTGTAACTTTTCCTAAGATCATCAGAGAGCTGATTTCAAAAGCTACAAAGTAATCTGAATACCACAGAGAGCCAAGCCTTTCCAAGGAGAGATATGGTACATGAACTGTTTCATGTGCTGATAGACTTGCACTAACAGAAATGTCAAAGTTCTTTAGGTAGGATTTGACCAGACTGAAACTACACCAAAAAATTAAGAGTGTTGGAAATGGTAAAAATGAAGATTAAATATAGAAGGAATTTTTTCTTTTATTAAACTGCTTTGATCCACACATACGCAATTGATTTTTGAAAAGTTGCAAAGAAAAGTCAGTTGAAAAACGATTCTTTAACAAATGATACTGAAACAATTAGATAACCATATGCAAAAAATAAATAAATAAATAAATGCCTGGACTTAAACATGTGGCACCATATTTTTAAAAAACTCAAAATGGAACTCAAATTTGGGCGCCTGGGTGGCTCAGTTGGTTAAGCGACTGCCTTCGGCTCAGGTCATGATCCTGGAGTCCCAGGATCGAGTCCCGCATCGGGCTTCCTGCTCGGCAGGGAGTCTGCTTCTCCCTCTGACCCTCCTCCCTCTCATGCTCTCTGTCTCTCATTCTCTCTGTCTCAAATAAATAAAATCTTTAAAAAAAAAAAAAAAGAATCATTGAACTTCCTACATTTTCTATATAGAATTGATCTCATAAACTAATATGACTCCTACATATTTAGGATAAGGAACAATGAAGAATTTTGTTCGGGCCACCTGGGTGGCACAGTTCATTGAGTGACCGACTCTTGGTTTTGGCTCAGGTGGTGATTTCAGAGATTGAGTCCCTGCATTGGGCTCCAGGTTCGGGTGTGTGGGGGGGTGTCTGCTTGAGATTCTCTCTCTCTTTCTCCCTCTGCCCCTCCCACTCATGCTCTCTCTCTCTCTTTCTCTAAAATAAGGCTGAATTTTTTTTTGTTTAGCTAATTGCTTTATAATTCTAACAAATTTTTTAAACATCAAGAATTTATTATGTTCTATAGTGTGTCAATTTAAATGTTAACTTTAAGACCTTGAACTATCTTAAATTGAGTTAATAATCTTTGGATGCTTTGATAATTTCTAAGTAGTATAGAATATTACTCTCTGTGCATAATTTTCATCATACAGTTTTGGATTGTATTCCTTTGATTATAGAGTGGTTCTATCTTTGGGTCCTTTTAGTGAAGCTTAAAGCATGAAAGAGATGACTGTGCATCCATATTTCGTGTACTTACGGGCTGTAGTGGTCCACTAAATGTTCGTTGTATATGACAGACAGGTAATTCTCAGCGGCCTCTTCCCAGTAGTTTCTGTGAAGTATAAATAGTTTCTTTGGTTAAATGTGGGTGATCGAGACTATCCTAGGTGTAATAGTGGCAAAGAAGCATGAAGAGAGTAGTTTTATTCTATAGTAAAGTATTTGATGCCAAATTTTAAAGGAGATAAAAATGTGAAAGGATGAGGAAAATTATAGAAGTTATACAGAAAATACAGAATACTTTATTTGCCTTGGTTCCTAATAGGCACAGATAATGGGTCTAAATGGAAGCAATGAGATGTGTTAAATGTTTGGCAAATTTTGCTTAGTTTTTATTAATAATTTTTAAAAATTTGAGATAATTTTTATTAAAGATTTTATTTATTTGATAGAGCGAGAGAGCACAAGCAGGGGGAACAGTAGAGGGAGAGGGAGAAGCAGGATCCCCGCCAAGCAGGGAGCCCTATGTGGGGCTCGATCCTAGGACCCTGGGATCATGACCTGAGCCGAAGGCAGACGCTTAACCATCTGAGCCACCCAGGCGCCCCGAGATGATTTTTAAAAATTTAAGATAAATTTATTGCCAACTATCCTATCAATGCAAATCTAGAATTTGTTTTTTCCCTTATGTTAAAATGATAAATTGATTTTAGAGTCTTTAGTCTGTTGTTAATGAAAAGTAGTAAAAAGTTGTTCTTTACGGTCTGTATCATCCACCCAGATAACTAAAATTTTGTATCTCACCAAAAAAGTTTTCAAGTTTTCTTTGCTTTGTGGTGATTTTGTCATGCTCTTGATTACTAACATGAAAACAAACACGGAAGTCCTCAGGTCTGAAAAAGCTAAAGTTCCTTACAATGGTGTTACCTTTTATGGTTTTTGTCACCTTCTATGTACCTTGGTTAATAGGTAGCCAAGTTCAAGTCATTCATTGTTCTTTGACTTTTTTCTTAATCGAGTGACAAAATCCCATGATAACTGTTTTGATTATGCTTTCTAAGATCAGACCCTAAAGATAAATATAAACATATTTTTATTCCATATTTTAATATATTGAATATATACATAATACATTTCCAAAATGTCTTTTAGACCTAAAACATCTTTTCCCAAGAGGTTCCCTGGGAAGTCACAAAGATTTGTTCTTTTACCTTACAAAAGAAAAAGGTAAAAATATTTGGGATTGTCAGATATGTTTCCCATTTCTTAATTGGCTCAACATGATTGTAAGAACTGCACCAGAAGAGGTGTCAAATCAAAAGAAGAATTCAATCTTTTCTAGACTAACCTTTAGGTAAGTACTACTTATACAAAAATGTTTCAGAGATTATGAACTAAGTATAATTTGTCAATGCCCTCACTATCCATACTATGTTTTTTTTTTCCCCTTAGGGGAAACAGTGATCAAATCCTTATTATATAGTCATGTATTGCATCTTAATGGAGAATTTTACGCTCCTCCATTCTCATTTAGCCTCAGGCATTCAGTCCTATCATCAGAGCTTATTTCTGTTTTTCTCTCATGCTTGCCTGAAGTCTCTGCTGTAAGCTACAGGTTAGAAATTGGGTCTTCAGTCAAGGAGAGTCTTCGAGTCTTGAAAAGATTCTGTTAGGTACTTTCAAGGTACTTGGTTGCTTACCTTGTTACTCTTCTACTAGGTAACTACTAATAGCTCAAGAAATTAAGACAGCGGCAGTGAAAAGTGGATGGATCTGAGAAATATTTCAGACTTGGAGACTGCATTTGTAGTCTCTATCATAGGTATCGTTGTCAAAGTCAACAGCATTCAGTTTAAGAATTTTAAAAGCATCACTTTTATTCTCACGCACGTAGAAAGTCGTTTCATGTCTGCTGGGATGTGTATCAGAAAAAAATGCATATGGTGAAGTCGAGGAGAAAAGCCCTGGATCTGTTCAAATGTCTAAATAGCAACAATAGGGACGCCTATGTGGCTCAGTTGGTTAAGCGTCTGCCTTTAGCTCAGGTCATTATCCCAGGGTCCTGGGATCGAGTCCCACATCGGGCTCCCTGGTCAGTGAGAAGTCTGCTTCTCTTTCTGCCTCTGCCGCTCCCCCTGCTTGTGTGCTCTCTCTCTCTCTGACAGACAAATAAATGAAATCTTTTAAGAAAATAAATAAATAGCAACAATAATGAGCACTTTACACAGAATCCTATTTAATCCTCTTAACACCCTACAAATAGGTATTATTGCCTCTATTTTACAGATTGAGGAAACTAAGTCTCAGGGGGGTGAGAAACTTGCTCAAGGTCATACAGTTAATAAAAGTAGAGTGGGATTCTAACCCAATTAGCCTGATTTCAAGCACTAGATTGTAGTACCACATTTTAACATCAAGAGTAAAATAAATAAATAAAAATAAATAAATAAATACTTTTATCCTGAAAAGATGTTAACATTCCCCAAATTCCTGCCTTAGATCTTGAACCCCTTGCTTTTGAGGACCCTTCTCTGATCTTCTTCTGCCTGCACTTTCTCCAAAAGGCAAAGAAGCTGTGGGTCAAGAGGATGTGCCATCCAGTACTCATGCTCTCTCTTCTTCTTTTTTTTTTTTTTTTTAAGATTTTATTTATTTATTTGAGAGAAAGAGAGGGAGTACAGAGGGAGAGGGAGAAGCAGACTCCCTGCTGAGCAGGGAGCCCGATGCGGGGCTCGATCCCAGGACCCTGAGATCATGACCTGAGCTGAAGGCAGATGCTTAATGACTGAGCCACCCAGGCGCCCCTAATAATTTGATCTTTGTATACACCACAAAAAAAATCACAACAATAAATCTAGTTACCATCTGTCATCATACAATTAACCCCCTTCACTCATTTTGCCTACCTCCCACCCCATTCCCTTCTATAAACCACTAATCAGTTCTCTGAGTTTTCTGTTTTGTTTGTTCTTGTATATATGTGATATACCCCACATATATAAAATATATATATATATTCCACATATAAGTGAAATCATACAGTATTTGTCTTTCTTAGTCTGACTTATTTCACTTAGCAAAATACACTCAAGTTCCACTCATGTTGTTATAGATGGCAGGATTTCCTTCTTTTTATGGCTGAGTAGTATTCCATTGTGTGTGTGTGTGTGTGTGTATGCCACATCTTCTTTATCTATTCACCCATTGATGGATATTTACATTGTTTCCGTATCTTGGCTATTGTAAATAATGTAATAAACATCAAAGTGCATATATGTTTTTTAATTAGTATCTTCATTTTTTTTTTCAGATAAATACCCAGAAGTGGTATAGCTGGATCATATGGTAATTCTATCTTAAATTTCTTGAGGAACCTCCAACCTTCCATAGTGGCTGCACCAGCTTGCATCCCCACCAACGTGTATGAGAGTTCCTTTTCCTCCACATCCTCTCCAACACTTATTTCTTGGTTTTTGTTTGTTTTAAAAAAATATTTATTTATTTGAGAGAGAGAGAGAGAGCAGGGGAGGACCAGAGGGAGAGGGACAAGCAGACTCTCTGCTGAGTGAGGAGCCTTACTCCAGGACCCTGAGATCATGACCTGAGCTGAAATCAAGAGTTGGGACGCTTAACCAACTGAGCTACCCAGGCGCCCCTGTTTTTATAACAGACATTCTATAGGTGTGAAGTGATATTTCATTGTGGTTTTGACTGTCATTTCCCTAATAATTAGTGATATTGAAAAATCTTATGTGCCTGTTGGCCATCTGTATGACTTCTTTGGAAAAATGTCTGTTTGGATCCTCTGCCCATTTTTTAATTGGATTTTTCATTTTATTTGCTTTTGAATTCTTTATATACTTTGGATATTAACCTCTTATCAAGTATGTGATTTGCAAATGTTTTCTACTATTCAGTAGTTTGCCTTTCACTTTATTGATGGTTTCCCTTGATGTGCAGAAGCTTTTTAGTTTGGTGTAGTCATACTTGTTTATTTTTGCTTTTGTTGCCTTAGCTTTTGGAGTAAAATCCAAAAACTCAATGCCATCATTATTGTCAAGAACCTTACCACCTGTGTTTCCTTCTAGGAGTTTTATGGCTTCAGGTCTTATATTCAAGTCTTCAATCCATTTTGAGTTAATTTTTATGTAAGGTAGTGGTCCAGTTTCATTCTTTTGCATGTGGCTGTCCAATTTTCCCAACATCAGTTATTGAAGAGATTGTCCTTTCCCCACTGTGTATTCTTGGTTCTTTTGTCATAAATAATTGACCATATATGTATGGGTTTATATCTGGGCTTTCTATTCTGTTCCATTGATCTGTGTGTCTGTTTTTATGCCGGTACTGTACTATTTTGATTACTATAGCTTTGTAGTATAGTTTGAAACCAGGCAGTGTGGTACCTTCCGCTTTGTTCTTCTTTCTCAGGATTGCGTTGGCTGGCCTGTACTTCTTGTGTGTATATCCCTTTGCTCAAGGATAGGCTTTCCTTCTGCTATGTTTCTGCAGAAAACTCCAAGGAGACTGAGAATTCAAATCTGAATTTGACCTTCCAGGTCACTTTGAAGGTATATTTACTCAAGGAAAGAAAGCAGGGTATATTTTATTAAATACTTTGTTGTCTTGTTTTAGAACTACTGTACAGTATTTCATTTATATCTATAGAGTAATGGTTTAATATTTTGCTAATAATAATTGTATTAATCTTTATATTAATATTTACTGATATTCTTTAATAAATATTGGAACTTTTAACAGTTGGATGTTATGGTAATAAATATCTATATTTATCTAAAGATAAAATTCTAAAATTTTAAACTAAACTCAATTATAAATTTTTTTGGTTTTGGGGGGGAGAGAGAGAGAGACAGCAGGGAGGGGCAGGGAGGGTGAGAGAGAATCTTAAGCAGGCTCCATGCCCAGCACGGAGCTGGATGTGGGGCTCAATCTCACACCCTGTGATCATGACCTGAGCCAAAATCAAGAGTTGGAGACTTAACCAACTGAACCACCCAGGTGCCTCAGTTATGAAATATTTTTTAAAATTGTTGATGAAACAAAAAATTTCTATTTGTTTATATTCTTCTTTTACTAATCCTCTTTAGTAACTAGCATACAAAATTCTCCTAATAGCTATTTTCCTTAATGATAAATTAAGATTTTTTTTCTTTTTTTAATACACTTTATATTTTAGAGCAGTTTCAGTTTCGCAGAAGATACAGAGCTTTCCCATATCTCCTTGCCCCCATATTTGTGCAGCCTCCCCCATTCTCAAAATTCCCCACCAGAACGGTGCATTTGTTACAATAGATTAACCTACAATGACACATCATTATCATACAAAGTCTATAGTTTACATTAGGGCTCATTCTTGGTGTTTCACATTCTAAGGGTTTGGAAATGTATACTGACATGTGTCCACAATTATGTTATCATACAAAACCCTTTGTATTCTAGCTATTCATCTCTTTGTCTCTCCAGCCCCTAGCAACCACTGATTTTTTTTTTTTTTTTTACTGCTTCTGTTGTTTTGCCTTTTCAGGAGTTTACACAGTTGGAATCAATAATATGTACTTTTTCAGATTGGTTTCTTTCACTTAGTAATATACATTTAAGTTTCCTCCATGTCTTTTCATGGCTCAATAGCTCATTTCTTTTTAGCACATAATAATATTCCATTATCTGGATGTACCACAGTTTATTTATTCTTTCAACTACTGAAGGACATCTTGGTTGCAACCAAATTTAGGTAGTAACGAATAAAGCTACCATAAACATCTGTGTGCAGGTTTTTGTGTAGACATAAGTTTTCAATGCTTTTTAGCAAATACCAAGGAGCATGATTGCTGGATCATGTGGTAAGAGTATGTTCCATTTTTAAAAAATTTTTTTTAATTTATTTTTATTTTTTAGTATTATTTATTTACCTACTTATTTTGAGAGAGAGAGAGAAAGTGGGGGAAAGGTGCAGAGGGAGAGGGAGAGAGAGAATCCTAAGCAGGCTCCACACCCAGCACAGAGCCTGACTTGGGGCTTGATCTCACAACCCTGAGATCATGACCTGAGCCAAAATCAAGAGTCAAACGCTTAACTGACTGAGCCACCCAGGTACCCCAAGTATGTTTCATTTTGTAAGAAACTGCTAAACTGTCTTCCAAGTGGCTTTACCATTTTGCATTCCGAGCAGCAATGAATGAGGATGTTGCTTCACATCTTCATCAACACTTGGTGTTGTCAATGTTCTGGATTTTGACCATTCTAATACATGCATAGTGGTATTTCATCATTGTTGTTGTTTTCATTGCATTTCCCTGATGGATGACATAAGATATGGAGCATCTCTTCATATGCTTATTTATCATCTGTATATCTTTGGTGAAGTGTCTGTTAAAGTCTTCAGTTCATCTTTTAATCGGGTTGTTTTCTTTTCTTTTTTTTTTTGAAGTATAGTTGACATATGATGTTATATTACTTTCAGGTGTACAGTATAGTGATTTGACAATACAAGACATTACTCAGTGCTCACCATGATAAGTGTAGTCCCCATATAACATTATAATAATATTATTGACTATATTCCCTGTACTGTACTTTTCACCTCCATGACTTATTTATTTTATAACTGAAAGTTTGTATCTCTTAATCCCAACTAATTAAATTTGTTTTTTTATTCTTTGAGTTTTAAAAGTTTATATATATTTTGGATAAGAGTCCTTTATCAAATATGTCTTTTGGAAATATTTTCTCCCAGTCTGTGTATTGTCTTTTCATTCTCTTGACAGTGTCACTCACAAAGCAGATATTTTTAGTTTTAATTATGTCCAGCCTATCAATTCTTTCTTTCATGGATCATGCCTTTGGTATATATCTAAAAAGTTATCATCAAACTCAAGGCAATCTAGATTTTCTCCTGTGTTATCCTCTAAGAGTTCTATAGTTTTACATTTTAAATTTAAATCAGTGATCCATTTTGAGTTCATTTTTGTGAAAAGTGTAATAATGGTCATATCTAGATTCCCTTTTTTGCATGTACATGTCTAGTTGTTCCAGCACCATTTGTTGAAAATACATACTTTTCTCCATTATATTACCTCTTCTCCTTTTCTCAAAAATCTGTTGACTATATTCATGTGGGTAGATTTCTGGGCTCTCTATTCTGTTCCATTGATTTACTTGTCTGTTTTTTCATTACTACTACACTGCATTGATTATTTTCTTCCCAAATTGATCTATGATTGATCAAGAATCAATCTACTGATCTAGATTCAATGCAATCCCAATCAAAATACTAGCAAGTTATTTTGTGGATATTGACAAACTAATTCTATAGTTACATGAGGCAAAAGACCCAGAATAGCCAACACAATATTGAAGGAAAAGAACAAAGTTAGAGGAGTGACAATACCCAACTTCAACAGTTGCCACAAAAAAAAAAAAAAAGACTACACAAGGCTGGCTACAGCTCCTTGGAGGTTTCTAGGAAGCTGGTATGTCTGGCCTCACAAAATGAGTTAGGAAATATCCCCTCTGCCTCTATCTTCTAAAAGAGATTGTAGAAAATTGGTATAATTTCTTCCTTAAATGTTTGATAGAATTCACCCGTGATCCCATCTAGGCCTGGTGCTTTCTGTTTGGGAAAGTTATTGATGATTGATTCAGTTTATTTAATAGATATAGGTCTACTCATATTGTCTATTTCTTCTTCTGTGAGTTTTGAGAGATTGTGTCCTTCTGTGAATTGGTCCAATTCAATGAGGTTATCAAAATTATAGCCATTGAGTTGTTCATAGTATTCCTTTATTATCCTTTTGCTATTCATGGAATTTGTAGTGATGTCCCCTCTTTTGTTTTTGATATTAGTAATTTGTGTCCTCTCTTTTTTCTTAGTTAGCCTGACTAGAGGTTTGTCAATTCTGTTGATCTTTTCAAAACCACCTCTGTTTTATTGATCTTCTCTATTGAGTTCCTGTTTTCAATTCCATTGATTTCTGCTCTAATTTTTATTCTTTTTTTTTTTTTCCTGCTTACTTCAGATTTAATTTACTCCTTGTTTTCCTGGTTGCCTAAGGTGGAAGCTTGGATGCATGACTTTAGATTTTTCTTCTTCCCTAACATATGCATTTGATGGCATAAATTCAGTTAAACTCTGATAAAAGCCCAGCAGATTAGGATCTGGTTAAATAGTTTCTTCTGAAGGCAGATCTTGCTAAGAAGAACAGAATGCTCTGGCATATTTCAAAATAGTTCCTTTTCCCCTCCACCTGTTGAGAGCACTGGGAGATTTTTCTCTGATATTGACTGTGAGAACCTGGTACAGCTTCGGGAAGTAAAACTCATAAAAGTGTAGGGGCTCCCTGATGACTGGGTCCCCCTGGAGTTTTTATGTCTGAGACTTATCCACAGTGAGTAGCAATTTGTCACCTACAGTTCAGGTTTTCCTACCTTGACACTGTTCCCATGGAGGTTTCTTCTCTGATTGGTTATGATTCTCTGTATTCATTTGTTGATCTCTCCAATTTTGGGGATAGTGATTTGCTCTGTGACCTCACTTTTTTTTATGGATCTAAGAAGAGTTGCTGATTTTTTATTTTGTTCAGCTTTTTACATAAGATAGAGTGGTGACTTTCAAGCTCTTTATATGTTAGATCAGACTTTTTAAAAAAATTAAATAATTGATACTGTGCTAAAGCAATCTAATAGAAAAAATCATCAAGATCTATACTCCATAAGTATAAATCTAAGATATATGGACCAAAAATAAAAGGAAAAGAATAGTCACTTTATACATTCTAAATGAGCTCTAACTGTATATTCTGTCTAATTGTAAACCACATTGTCTTTTTCTAAAGCCCAAATTTAAAATAGTAAAATAACTAATGCATTTAAAATCTATTGCATAGATTTTGGTCTGAAATGCTATTCTCCATTAAAAAGAATTAAGGTTTCTTGTAGAAAGACTGATTCCATTTCCTAGAGGAAAAAAAAAACTTTCGTAGTTGGTCTAAATCATCTTGTTCTAAGAATAAAGGATTTTTAAAAGGCTTTTAAAATTCTGGAATGGTATTGAAAATCATAATCAACATTTCCCCATGGCCAAATATGATAATATGACCATCAAAAATAAACAAAATTATAGTTACTTAATTTTAGGTTAAGAATAATAAATCAGATTTAATTGTTGCTTCATAATGTACATTTTCACTCCCTAAGAACCTCACAATATGTAAGGAGAAAATAGACCTTCCTCTACCATAGAGCTAGTTTTTAAATTTTTACTTTAATTTTATAATACTTGTTACATACAAAATGATGCAGATATTTGTATATTTAAGTTATGAATCACAATACAAGTAGTACATATCCATCACCCAAAATTAGAGAGAGAGGGAGAAATATAACTTGGCAATTTCTTTTGTGCTCTCTGATGGCTTGCTTTGATGTAATTAACAGAATCAAACAAAAATGATTTTGGATGTTCTCTCTGGGTTTTCTTAGGGAACCAGCCAATAGGACCTGGACCTCTGGTCTCCCAGTGAGAGAGACTGCATCTGAACTCAGCTGGCCATGGTACTATTACTTTCTTCCAATGAAGACTTTCCATGTGACTCAAGATATGCAGATACTGGGTAGCTGACTTTCTTGGACAAGTCTTTTTTTTTTTTTTTAAGATTTATTTGTTTATTTTAGAGAGAGAGAGAGAGCACTGCAGAGGGAGGGGCAGAGGGAGAGAGAGAATCCTAAGCAGACTCCCTGCTGAGCGTGGAGCCTGATGTGGGGCTCAATCCCACAACCATGAGATCATGATCTCAGCAGAAATCAAGAGCCAGATGCCTAACCGACTGACCCATCCAGGTGCCCCTCTTGGACAAATCTTATAAATAGTTGCACCTAAACCAAGACTGCCTGGTGCCCCAGTGATTTTCCTGACAAGATTCCTTTCACGTTTGCCCTGCAAGAAGGGAGAGCAAAAAGGGGATGGAATTCCTCTCCTATAATGCAAACTCACACTGAAGATCCAACATAGTGCTCTGGCCCCAATACACTTCTCCTTGAGATGATGGCAGAATGGGGGAACCTGTGTTTTTTCCTTAGTTTTGTAAACAAGCTTCCTTTTTCACCAATAAAACCTAGCCCTTAACCTAGTGGTTCTAACTTTGGTATGGGTCAGAATTACCTAGTGGGCATGTTAAAATGCAGATTGCTGGGTCCCACATCCAGAATTTCTGTAGACCAGGACTGGGGTCTGGGATTTTGTATTTCTAGAAAGTTCCCAGGGAATGCTGCTATTATGGTCAAGGGACCACACTCTGAGAAACTCTATCTTAATTCATGCAGTGGAAATCAGCTCACAAAGGGTCCCATTGGCAAGACCTTCACCTAGGAGTTAATCATTGTCCTTTCTTGTGCCCTACTTTCCTTTATAGTTTTACCACATAGGAAGGAATTTTTAACCAATAGATGACTTACTCTTCTCACTCATCCATCCAGTGTATAGCTATAATTAATTCATTTTCACTGTTCTATGATATTCTGTTTTGTGAATAAAACTATTGATAGACATTTGGCTTGTTTTCAGGTTTTTGCTAGGAAACTGCTATGAAGAGTCACTTTTTTTTTTTTTTAATTTTTATTTATTTATTTGACAGAGAGAGACACAGCGAAAGAGGGAACACAAGCAGGGGGAAAGGGAGAGGGAGAAGCAGACTCCCAGCTGAGCAGGGAGCCGGATGCGGGGCTCGATCCCAGGACCCTGGGATCATGACCTGAGCCAAAGGCAGACGCTTAACGCTTAACGACTGAGCCACCCAGGTGCCCCAAGAGTCACTTCTTTAGTCATAGAATTACCCTTGCTTCCTGAAAGGACCCATCTAGAGGGAATCTTCCTGGGGTGCCTGGTTGGATAAGTTGGCTAAGCATCTGCCTTTGGCTCAGGTCATGACCCCAGGGTCCTGGGATTGAGCCCTGCATTGGGCTCCCTGCTCAGTGGAGAGCCTGCTTCTCCCTCCCTCTGCTGCTCCCCCTGATTGTGCTCTCTCTGTCAAATAAATAAAACCTTAAAAAAAAGAGGGAACCCTCCTTCCCTTAGACCTTTCCCTAAATTCTAACATCCTCTTACTGGGACACCCAATGGTGTGTGTTCTACCTTGCTCAGTGAGTACCTAACTCAACTTGTTCAAGTACATGTGTGTCTGTGGTCTTTGGCTGAAGGGTTTATATGTAAAATATCTTCACATGCCTTGTTGTGCCTTTTGATGAACACGAGTTCTTAGTTTTAGTTCAAGTTTTCAATTTTTTCCCTTTATAGCTAGTGCTTTTTATATCATATTTAAGAATTCTTGTCTTAGTCCAAGATCAATGGATATGTATTTTTTGCTAGATATGTATTTCTAATATCTAAATTTTTGTCTTTAGTTCATCTGAAAATCATCTTTGTGTATGACACCATATGCATGTAGAGATCTAATCTCATTTTTTAAAATGTGGTAACCATTTCTCATAGCAATAATGTATTCAATAGCCATTCCTTTCTGTGCTTTTCCCCACTTACATGCAGAGCTACCCCTACCATATATCAAACTTCTATCTATACATGGGTTAAATTAGATCTCTTTCATTTTTAAAATGTAATAAGAAATAGTTTAAGACTTTAAGATTGAATGTTTCAAGGCTGTGAAACACTGTTTAGATAAATACATAAACCATAAAACAACATTAAAAGTTAATGTTTTAAGTTGCTATCAGTTGAAACAATGATTCAGTAATAAAACTTACCCAATTTTTTAAAAAGATAATTCATTCAGAGTATAGAAAATTTAGTAAGACTATGGTAGTCCAGAGAACAATTTAACCGCAGAAGTGTGTATGTGCTTTAACAAAGTGATTGCTAACAGATTTTTTTAAAAGCCCCAAATAACACCATGTATCCCTTTCATTATCTTCCATACATACATTATCTCACTTTTTATATAGTCAGAGAATCTAGCCTTTAAAATTTTATATGAAAGAAATGCATAAATCCTCTCTTTTGTAGACATAGGAAAGTCTGAAACAAAATGGTAAAAGTAAGAATAGAATCAAAGGGGAGAAAATGCCAAAAGTGAGGACAAAGGGAAAGAAATCTAAGAATGGCTCCCAGTAGTCAAAGTTACAGAACCTTGAGATGATGAACCTCCGACAAAATAAGATAAGGTACTGAGGGGTGGCCTGTTTGGGAAAAGATGATATTTTTTTCTTCCAAGTCTACTGCTCCTAAACTGTTCTCAAGGATATTTTCAGGAGGTTTGAAATTTGTTTTAATGGCCTGCAAAAGTAAAAAGTTTAAAATCCAAATCCATAGGTGGCAAGTAGTTCATAGGTGCTTAAATTTCATGTAAATTCACTGTCCTTTTTTTTCTTTAAAAAAAAATATTTTATTTATTTTAGAGAGAGGGGCGAGGGGAGAGGCAGAGGGAGAGGCAGAGAACCTCACAAAGACTCTTCCCAAAGCACGCAGCCCAGGCCTCTCTGCTCTCTCCACCCTGAAATCAGGACCCCGGTGGAAACCAAGCGTCAGATGCCCAAGGGACTGAGCCACTCTTGTTTTCTTTTTTAAACATCAAATTCCAGTAACTTATAAACTAAGTCTAGAGAACGCAGCCTGGGCAAAGATCATTGCAATGGGAGTTAAGAGAGCAGGATTTTAATCACGATTCTGCCACTAATCTAAGTGGCAATGGGGTTAAGTGTGTGGGTCTCAAATTCCTTAAATATGCAGGATGAACTACATCACCTTCAAGTTTCCTTCCAGAACTAGGTCTTCTTAAGCAATTGTAAAATGTATCCGTGTAAATCCAAGCTATCCTACAGATGAGTTGCAGCCAAGCGTTTGTCACATGAGTCATAATGCCACTTCTTCCCAGGTCTTAAACCATGTAGGGAAACCTATCTACGATCTTTTGGTGGCCTTACAGTTGAGAGGATTTGGACCACTACAATAGTAAGGCCAAGCTCCCAGGTAATTTCCAAAACAGGAACACCAAATGATGTCCTTTTTTTTTTTTTTTTTAAGATTTTATTTATTATTTGACAGAGAGAGACATAGTGAGAGAGGGAACACAAGCAAGGAGACTGGTAGAGGGAGAAGCAGACTCCCCGCCGAGCAGGGAGCCCGATGCGGGGCTCGATCCCTGGACTCCGGGATCATGACCTGAGCCGAAGGCAGTCACTTAACCAACTGAGCCACCCAGGCGCCCAATAAATGAAATCTTTAAAAAAAAAATAGGCTGGGCGCCTGGGTGGCTCAGTTGGTTAAGTGACTGCCTTCGGCTCAGGTCATGATCCCGGAGTCCAGGGATCGAGCCCCGCATCGGGCTCCCTGCTCGGCGGGGAGTCTGCTTCTCCCTCTAACCCTACATCCTCTTGCGCTCTCTCTCTCCCTCTCTCTCTCTCTAATAAATAAATAAATAAAAAAAGATTTTATTTATTTGTCAGAGAGAGGGAGGGAGAGAGAGAGCACAAGCAGGGGGTACAGCAGGCAGAGGGAGAAGCAGGCTTCCCGCGGAGCAGGGAGCCCGATGCGGGGCTCGATCCCTGGACTCCGGGATCATGACCTGAGCCGAAGGCAGTCACTTAACCAACTGAGCCACCCAGGCGCCCCCCAAATGATGGTCTGAGAGCCTTCATCAGAACAAAAGGCCAGGGCTGCTAGGCGCGGGGGCGGTGCACCTGCCTCTTACAGGTCTGGTCCCTCTGGTAACTCCTTTTTTTCTTTTTCTTTTTTTTGCATGCTCAGGCGCAAGGCTCTTTTCTTAAAACGAAGGCCTATTTCTTCGGTGATTCACTCAGGCCCCAGGGAACGGATAATAGCCCCAGGAGGGGTCTCTCGCCCGGGCAGTCACGAGAGGAGTTTGCGCGGCGGTCGCAGAGGCGCGCCCGGGGCACGCTGGGAACGCGGGGCGCCGCGGCCCGGCCTGACCCGGAAGGGCTGGTGCGTGGTAACCCCGGCTTCCCTAGCAACCGAGCAGGTGGCTAGTCCTAACCATCCGCATCCTCTTGTTCAGACACCTCGCGGGATGCCGCTGCGGGTTAGCGATTACAGCTGGCAGCAGACGAAGACTGCGGTGTTTATCTCCGTGCCTCTCCGGGGCGTCTGCGTCAGAGACGTGGACGTGTTCTGCACGGAAAACTATTTGAAGGTAGGAACTCGAGTTGTGCCTGCCGGGTCCCCGGGGGTGTGTTCCGAAGCTTCTAAGCGCTTCTACGTACACGCCGCAGGCGCGTTCTTGCAGACAAGCATCCTAAAATTTAGTTCTATTTTTTTTTTAAACCGAATCCCATGAGGTGATACCTCATCTTTAGACAGATGTCATCAGACCAGAGATGATTTTTATCCAGGATTTCTTCATATGCCTTGTTAATCGAGTAAATTTATAGCAGGCATTTAAGAAAATGATCTTGGTCCCATCATTTGTTTCTTAACGGCTGTGTCTTTATTTTGTGTAACTAAATTAAGCTCCGTTTACCCCCTTCTGAATAGGTCAACTTTTCTCCATTTTTATTTGAAGTGTTTCTCTATGCGCCCATAGACGATGAAAACAGCAAAGCCAAGATTGGGAATGACACTATTGTATTCACCTTGTATAAAAAAGAAGTGGCCATGTGGGAGACCCTTTCTGTGTCAGGTGGTAAGTTTTTTATTAAAGGATGTTCATCTGGTTGTGCTTTTTATATTTTATACCTTAAAATTTTTTTTCAGAACAATTGTTTCTCTTCTAGAAGAAAAAGTAGGAACGTGAGCATGATTTAAATGACATAGTGCTTCAGCTACCACTTAAATAACTTAAAGATTGAATAATTCAAAAGTTAGAGCACATTTGTAATAGTTCTCAAGCAGATGTGGGCTTGTGTCTTCAGAGGATAAGGCCTCTTGATATGATCTTTATTGAGCACTTATTTTGTGTTAGGCATTAATGCATCTGGTAATCCTCAGAACAACCTATTACTTAGGTTACCACCCTCCCACCCCCGTTTTTTGTTTTGTTTTTTTAAGGTGAGGCTAGTAAGGTACAGAAGGATTGAATAATTGGCACAGGTCACACAACTAGTAAGTGGCCGACTGGAACTGGAGCTTTAGCAGTTTGACTCTAGAGCAGTGGTTCTTAACCCTGGCCACATATTTGAATCACCTGCAAAACTTGTAAATAATACACATGTCTGAAGCTCACCCTAGACCAATCAAATCAATTTCTGTGAGTGGGAAAAGCTTTTCAGGGGTTATAATGTGCAAAGCTGAGATCCCCTATTCTCTGTACTCTTAATGAGTATTCTTCTGCTGCGATTGGCTTTGTGGGTCGTAATTGCCCACAAAGGTAAATTGCTTTACCTTTATTTTCTTCCTCCCTGTTCTAGTTGTCTTGTATTCTAGGGCTTTATATCTACTGCCTGAAATTTCTCGTAGGCCTCTGGCATTAAGTCTTCAGTAGGAACTACTGAGAATGGGGAGATTGCAGTCATTTTTTTTTAATTTATTTTTTTAGTAATCTCTACATCCAACATGGGGCTCGAACTCATGACCCCGAGATCAAGAGTCACATGCTCTTCCAACTGAGCCAGCTAGGCACCCTGCAGTCATTCTTTATATTGATTCTTTCTTGATATCTTGCAGTGAAATCTAATTTTGTAATCCCCAGGACCAGATAGAATTTTTCGGTAAAGTCTAGTATTCAGCTCAGAAAATACTGGCTAAGGTAGATTACCATAGCCAGGTTACTTTAGCTCTTTAGTGAGTTCCAGACTAACTGAAGAGTTTTTAAAAACCAGATTCTTGATGTCCTACTCACTCCTTCCTTTGTGATTCAGTAAGTCTGAGATGGGGCCTGGGACTATGTCGTGAAACACACCCAGGGTGTTCTGACTTCTTACCTAAGATCAAATGTAAACACTTTAATTTATTTCAATTCTTATTGATAATCTTAATTTTAAAGTAATATGGGACCAGAATCATCACCTATTACAATGGCTTATTTTAAAATAAACAGATTGGGAGTGGTGGGACCCCGGGTGATTCTGATGACTGACCGGGCTTGAGAACCACTGACTTAAATGTGTGTGTGTGTGTGTGTGTGTCTGTCTCCAGGAAACATTCTGTCTGCCAACTTGTTTTTTTTTTTTTTCCCAAAGATTTTATTTATTATTTGACAGAGAGAGAGATAGCAAGAGCAGGAACACAAGCAGGGGGAGTGGGAGAGGGAGAAGCAGGCTTCCTGCCGAGCAGGGAGCCCGATGTGGGACTCGATCCCAGGACCCTGGGATCATGACCTGAGCCGAAGGCAGACGCTTAACAACTGAGCCACCCAGGCGCCCTGTCTGCCAACCTGTTAAGATATAAAGAAGAATCATGGAACGCCTGGGTGGCTTAGTTGGTTAAGTATCTGCCTTCGGCTCAGGTCATGATCCCAGGGTCCTGGGATCGAGTCCCACATCGGGCTCCTTGCTCAGTGGGGAGCCTGCTTCTCCCTCTGCCTGCCACTACCCCCTGCTTGTGTGCGCTCTCTCTCTCTCTCTCTCTGTCTCCCACAAGTAAATAAATAAAAATCTAAAAAAAAAAAAAAAGAAGAATCATCAGGAAACCTGTTACTTTTCCCTACATGACACTTTCTTCTATGTCAAATTCTCTTCTTAACCTGCTTGGCTGTCTTTTCCAGGAGTGGGAAGGGAATTTTCTTTCCTAATCATGATCTTCCTCTCTGTTCTATACATCTGCTTGCAATTCACACCTACTTGATTCTTCTCTTTCATGGTAATATGGTCATCCATTCCAAATTTTGACTATTTAAACCAAAGCTTAACAAATTTTTTCTGTAAAGGACCAGATAGTATTTTGAATACTATGAGCCCCATGGTCTCAGTCACAATTACTTAGTTCTGCTATGGTAGCACAAAAGCAGCCAATAGACAACACATATATATGGACACCAAAATTTGAATTTTATCTAATTTTTATATGTCATATTATTTTGATTTTTCAACTATTTAAAAATGTAAAAATTATTCTTACCTTGTGTGCTAGAGGAAAACAGGCAGCAAGTTAGATTTGGCCATGGTATGCCAACCTCTGATTTAGACTAATCAAAACAGTCTTAAAACTAGTTTATGCAATAAGTAATGAGTATTGATTTTACTTCAAAAACCAGGTTTGAGATTCCTTTAGAAATCAAACTCAGTTACACAGCAACTCAGTGAAATTATTTCTTTAACAAGATTGTTTTTCACATAAAGTGTGTGGAACTAGATCCAATCTATACGCCACGTTTTCCTCATCTTTCAGAACATATTTGCTTAATTTTTTCCTGAAGATTTTTCTTGGTATACTTTTCATTTCTTTTAGATGTGAAAGTAGGTTCTTTTAGTTTACCCCTGAATCTGGTCCAGTTGTCTGTCACTCTGTTATTAAACAGGAGGAGGGTTGGGAGAGGCTTCAGACTTAATTCCAGTCCTAAGTCCTAGTCAAGATCTTGAATGAGAAAAGATTCCATTCTTTTTTTTTTCCTTTTCCTTTTTAAGGCAATTTCTTTGAAAATTAAAATTCCAGACTTTTTTTTAACCGATAACTGAAATTTAGCATTCCCTTCAATCATGAATGTAGGCAACAAACAGCTGTATCAAGAATTATCACAAATAGGGCACCTGGGTGGCTCAGATGATTAAGCGTCTGCCTTCGGCTCAGGTCATGATCCCAGGGTCCTGGGATCGAGTCCCACATCGGGCTCCCGGCTCAGCGGGGAGCCTGCTTCTCCCTCTGACCCTCTCCCCTCTCATGCTGTTTCTCTCTCGCTCGCTCTCTAAAAAATAAATTAAAAAAAAAATCTTAAAAAAAAAAAAGAAGTATCACAAATACATTTATATCACAAAGTACATTTATCTTTTATACTCACTACTTTGAAATTATAGTATTTATTACACTTGTTGGTATATATTAATGCATTAATGAAGAAGTATATATATTTTTGTGATATTGTATATCACACACAAAAAAACTCTTCTTCTCTTCTAGGAGACCCCATAGTGATGATTTATTGTGATTAGGTTTATAAGCAAATAGCCCTGGTTTCTTGACAGAGTGGAGAAAGATAAATGTGTACTCTTTCCCTCTATCCTGTCCCATCCCCTTCTCTTTACCACTTCCCCCCTCTCATTTCACTACCCTCTCTCCCTTTTATATCCCTCTCCCTGTCCTCATCATTCCCCCACTTTTTTAAAGATTTTATTTATTTATTTCACAGAGAGGACAAGAAAACACAAGCAGGGGGAGCAGCAGGCAGAGGGAGAAGCAGACTCCCTACTGAGCAGGGAGCCAGAAGTGGGACTCGATCCTGGGACTTCAGGATCATGACCCGAGTCGAAGGCAGATGCTTAACCCACTGAGCCACCCAGGCACCTATCATTCCCCCTCTTATTCTCCTTTTCTTTTGTTCCCACTTTCTCTCATTCGTATTTTCTCTCTCTCTCTCTCGTTCTCTCCCTCTGTAGTAATTAATTGCTGTTATAGTTGCTTGCTTACTTTTTAATGTTAGCTTGGCCAGTTTAATAGTGAGAAATGTTTTCATCTCTCCTTGTGAAGTTTGGTCCCCCCTCCCACCATCGCATCCTGGATCATCAGTATGTTAAGCAGTTTTCTCCTAAGTAAAACATTCATCATAATCCTAATTTAGTGATATTTCTTGTTTTAGTTGACAAAGAGATGATGCAAAGAATAAGGGAGAAATCTATTTTACAAGCACAAGAAAGAGCAAAAGAAGCTGCAGAAGCAAAAGCTGCAGCAAGGCGAGAAGATCAAAAATATGCACTAAATGTTATGATGAAGGTAAGTTGCAGATTGTTAGGAAAGTTCTCTAATTAAAGAGATAATAGTAAACTCTGTAAGGATGATTTATTCCAATCACTGTACTTCCTCACCTCTTTATTCATACTTTGATTATAGGATTTACTATGTTATAGAGGCTATCTACTACTTACATGTATTCCTGAAAATCTGTATGAAAGTAGAAGGTATACAGGTTGGACAATAGATTTACTTGTTTCAGGGAGAATGTTCTATTTCCAAGGGAGTAAAAAAATTATAATTTTGCATGGTAAAAGTGTTTTACTTCTTTTTTAATCTTGGAATAAAGGACATGATTATTTAAAACAAGAAGAGCCTAGATTATGTCAATACTAAACATTGACATATTCTTATCTTTTTAACTGTTGAGGCTTCCAAGTTAAAGCTTTTTTTTTTTTTTTTTTTTAAGATTTACTTATTTTAGAGAGAGAGCACACAAGCAGGGAGAGGGGCAAAAGGACAGGGAGAGAATCTCAAGCAGACTCCGACTTCTGGCTGAGTGCAGAGCCTGAAGCCAGGCTCAATCTCACTACCCTGAGATTATGACCTGAGCTGAAATCAAGAGTTGGACGCTTAACTGATTGAGCCACCCAGGCGCCCCTCAAGTTAAAGCTTTAATCAGCAATATATTTTTTGAGATATAATTCACATACCATATAATTCACCCATGTAAAGCTTACAGTTCATTAGTTCATAGTATTTAGAGATGTGCGACCATCACCACAATCAGTTTTAGGACATTTTCATCACCCAAAAAGAAACCCTGTGCCTGTTAAGAGTCACTCCCCATTTCTCCCATTCACTGCAGCCCCAGGCAACCACTAATCCACTTTATAGATTTACCTATTCTGACTAATTATTGCAAGTAATTTCTTATCTCATATTCTCATTTGACATCTTGAAAAGATTAAGGAATCTATAACTAGCATTTCATCAAGAGCTCTGTGGACCCATGATGCTTCTTTTGTATATGGATTACTAGTATTGTATTCATAATCAACAGTTCATGATTCCAAGGATGTCTCCACTTCTTTTATTACTTCTATTTGTCTTTTATATATACCCTATGGTTATATAGTGTCCTTTACTTAAAAATTTAGCACATGGTCAGCTGACCAAAGATTCCTGCTTTCAGTATACTTGAGTTCCATCTTTTCCTTATTGTGTTATCACTGCTGTCAGCCTTTTTTTTTTTAAAGATTTTTATTTATTTGACAGAGAGAGATACAGCGAGAGAGGGAACACAAGCAGGGGGAGTGGAGAGGGAGAAGCAGGCCTCCTGCCGAGCAGGGAGCCCGATGCGGGGCTCGATCCCAGAACCCCGGGATCATGACCTGAGCCAAAGGCAGACGCTTAACGACTGAGCCGCCCAGGCGCCCCATGCTGTCAGCCTTTTGATTTTATCATTTTCCTGAATTTTAAAAAATAAAAGCAAAATAATATAAAATTTGTGGTAACAGATAAATATTCCCTGAACTAATAAAATAGATAAATAATGGTATACATTTTGCTGTATTGGTAAAATAACAAAACTGGCAGTACCACCATACTGTGCCTTGAAGTTATTAATGTACTTATATCTGAAAGCCTGATTTGGTATTTGGAAAGGTGGTTTTGGGGTGTTAGTGTATAAAATATGAAGCTGTAGATGATATGAAAGTGGAAAGCACCTATGAAAGTCTATAACCTATACTACAAATGGTCCATTTTGTTTGTTTCTTTCCTTCAATAGAGTTCAGAGTTGAGATTATGTTTTCTTTCATCCTTATTACAGCTATTGCCAAGTTAAATAGTAGGTGCTCAAATATTTGAATGAATTAATGTAAATACATTGTTCTAGGACCCTGTGACAGTAGCTAAGTCCTATTTTGATGGATAGATGCAACATTTTTTACTCTGTCTAATCTTAGACATTCAGAAAAGAACTTTCAAGGTTCAGTAATAGTAGATGAAGAGCTAAAACAACAAAAGGCAACCTGTTATTAGCTTAAACCAAAAATTAAAACTTGATTTACATCTCAAAAAATAATAGTTTTTTGGTAGTTATCTTTTTTAAAAGATTTTATTTATTTATTTTAGAGAGAGAGATGGAGAGAGAGAGAGAGTGCGAGAGAGCATGAACAGGGGAGAGGGAGAAGCAGACTCCCCGCTGAGCGGGAAGCCGGACACGGCCTTGGGCCTCGATCCCAGGACCCTGGGATCATGACCTGAGCCAAAGGCAGACGCTTAACTGACTGAGCCACCCAGGCCCTCCTTAATAGTAATCTTTTAAAAATAATTAGCAGGGCTGGTGCTAAGACTCATTATGTCAGTTCACTGTGCTGTATGTATTAGTCTGCTTGGCCTACCGTAACAAAATACCACAGATTGGATGGCTTAAATGACAGACATTTATTTTCTAAAAGTTCTGGAGTCCAGAAGTCTCAGATTGAGGTCCAGCAAAGTCAGTTTCAGATGAGGAGTCTATTCTTGGCTTGTAGTTGGTGGAGAGAGAGAAAGAAAGAAATCAGGTGTCTCTTCTTAGTAGGGCACTAATCCTGTTCTATCAGGGCCCCATGCTTATGACCTCATTTAACCCTAATTGCTTCATCAAAGTCCCCATTTCCAAGTACAGCCACTCTGAGGATTAAGGCTTCAACATATACATTTGGCGGGGACACAAACATCCAGTCAATAACACTGTGTAATAAACTATCCAAAATTTAGTGATGTAAAGGCACAAAGACTTACTTCTCAACATTCTGTGTGTTGGTGAGGCATTTCTTGTCAGCTGGGGCTGGATTTATTATGGCTGGATGTGCTAGGATGGCCTCACTCACATGTCTAAAACCTTGCCTGGAAGAGCTGTAGCCTCTCTCTACATGTGGTATTTCAGTCTCCAGGGCTTCTTGACTTCGTAGTCCAGGTTCTTGGTAGCAAGAAAGGGAAAGCCCTAATGCACAAGCACTTTTAAAGCTTCTGCTATGTCATATTTGCTAATGTCCAGTTAGCCAAAATAAGTCACTGGAGAGAGAGACTACACCTCTTCTACGAAAGAGGGATTAAGTCATATTGCAAAGGGGTGTGCAGAGAGGGATGGGAGGAATTTGGGGCCATTTTGCAATTAATTTTACTCAATTAGTTTGAATTTAAAAGATTAGGGTTTAAATAATAAAGAGAACTTGATTCATCCAGCAGGAAAAGTTCAGAGATAAAGCAGTGATCAAATGTAGTTAAATCAAGGCTCTGATTCCATTTCTCTGCATCATCTTTAGCACTGCCTTTCCTTGTGTCTGCTCATCCTTAGGTTGATAGTGAGATGATCCATGTCTGCATATAACAAGGCCCAGGGGAAGACAGGCTATTTTGTTGGCTCCCTTGTAAGCTCCATAAAACAATTGCTTTCAATGTTGTAAAATATTAAAATTTGAACACATTTCAATGAGTTTTGAAGTGTTTGATGCTTCACACTTGGTTTACAGCATCAGCTTTTTGGTGTCTTTGCTGCTGATCTATCATTCATTCATTTAACAGTTATTTATTGAAAACTGTGAAAGGTGTCGCTACAGAGCTGAACAAGTCAGTCTTCACTCTCAGTTTACTCATGGTATAGAGAAGGTGACAGACAAGAAAAAACAGATTACACCATAGGATGCATGAGAAGTCATGGGAGGATAGAAAGAGAACACTGACGAAAGATTGGTATCTCAGTCTGAGAGTACAGGCAGGAAATATGAGGCAGTGTTTTTTGTGCCAAATATTGGAGAATGAGTCACAGGTATCTGAGGAATAAATGGAAAAATTATAAATAACTTGGATAAGTCCATGACAGAATATGGCCCAGTGAGGGAACATTTGTTGGTCAGAAATAAAGCTTAGTATCTTGAAAATTTTTCTGCAGGTAATGGGGAACTCTTAAGGGATTTTTCAGCAAGAATATCAAATTAATTGGGTTTGTGTGTTGGAAAAGCTCATTCTGGTTAATGAGTATGAAGTGGTTGCAGGGTAGAGGCAGAGCTTTTGTATTTTTAAGATGGAAAGAACCTGAGCACGTTTACATGTTGAAGAAGGAAGCTAGTAAAGAGAGAGAAGTTGATAATACAACCAAGGGAGGGGACTGATGATGATGGAACAGGTGGGATGAAGGTTGGAACAGGTGAAAAAATTAGTCTTAGCTAAGAGCAGTATATTTTATCTTTGGACACTAGAGGGCAGGAATAAGGAATAACACGATTTGGAAAATTCTGAAGGACACAGACAGTTAAAAAGAATCCTTTGTTTTCAGGGCGAAGGAGGCAAGAGAGAAAGAGGTTGAGGTGGAGGTATACGTTTTGAGGTGATTAATGGAAGTTTGGAATACTGACACCAAACTGATCTTCTGAAACATGCTCTCTTTGTCTGACAATTTTGACTGCTACTGCCTGCTTTGTCTGTCTTCTTTACTATTTTATTTTATAGGTTACCCTCTTCCCTTTTGAGTTTCCTTTTTGTTTTCTTCTTCAGGGGAAGTACTACTTCACTTTTGCCCTCTGAGCTTTTAACCTAGGTAAATCAAATTTGAAGTGCTTTCTTCTGTCATTTTCACAAAGTTGAAACTCAAACTGTGAAACAACTTTGCATATTCATGCAGATGAGGTATAAGTTGCTTTCTGGAATTGTCTAGGTTATGCTATAGGGCCTTAAAAAGTTCTTATCAGTGAACCAGATGCCCTGTTTATTGGAAGTGTGTACAATGTACAAAAACCACAAGGAACTGCTTGGCTCTTTTTTTATTCCATTTTTTAATAGTAATGTTCATGTTCCTAGAATTTTTTTTATCCCCCAGCCCCTCCTTTTTCTGCACTTTCTTCCCTTTCAATGCACGTCAGCACTGTTGACCCTATTGACTTTCTCACAATCCTGTTTCTTGCTTTTGCATGTTTAGCATTTTCCCTATAAACCATTCTTAGGGCTCTATGCTTTTGGTATCTCCTAACTCCTTTGACCTACTCCTTATATGTGAA